TCCTCAACATAGGAATGGTCCTCCCACTAAGAAATAGGCAGGCGTACTCACTCAGTATGCTGCTTGCCGCCCATGCACTGTCATACTTTCACGTGCTACACGGAGAATGAGTCTTATGTTAGAGCCTGATCTCTCGGCTCAAACCTTTTCCACCGCCTATAGACCGATCTCGTAATACTTTGGTCGATACGATAAACAGAGCCGAAGTGAATCCACCGCTTGAAAAACGGGCAGATACATGCCTCCTGGCAAGGTATCACAGCTCGCAGCTCGGTTGCTCCCACGCTCCCAATTTCAGGTGACCTCTCTCTCTCTCTCTACTGCTATGTTGTCCCTCTCCGCTGGTTCATTCTCCTTTTGATCACGTTTTCACCACTCTGCAATGCAGCTCACACTCTTCTATAGTGGTGAAAGTATCAGGCCATCATCAAGCCCTGATTCAATTTGTAGCGATGCATGGGGAAAAACAGGGGTAATTTGCTAATGCGGAGGGCGTGGGGACCACCCAAAAAAAAAAAAAAAAAAAAAAAAAAAAAAAAAAAAAGAATGAATCTAGTCGTATTTTTGGCGGAAGATTCGTTCCCAATATTTTTTTATTTTTTATTTTTTTTCTGCGCGCAGTTCCAATCTGTCATATCTCAAGACCTGGCTACTAACACTGAAAACTCAAACTCATAATCTGACTCACAACTACCAAGAACCCCCAAAACGATCCTTCCCTCTCCCACCTTCATCAAGGAGCGGGTGAACTCTACATCTTCTCTCCCACCCCGACATAGCCTGTCTCCGCCATGCCTTTCTCTGCTAACTCATAACCTACTAACCTATCACAAAAACCGACTTTATATTCTAACTCGCAGCGTTCGAAAACCCCCACTTCGCTTCCTCCCTTGCCCGATTTCGTCCGGAAACGGACGAGATAAGCATTCTTTCATCCTCTCCCTCCTCCGATCCGCCATCCCCCGCGCACCAACTTTTCTTCAACCTCCCATTTCTACTAACTTTCAACTGAAACTAATATTGGATTTGGACTCGCCTTACTCCAAAATTATGGAACCGAGTCTTTGTTTGCTTGATTCTATCGAGAATTGGGCGAACTACTCACTTCGTACTCCCCCACTCTCCGCCATAGCCCACTTCATTTCCACATGAACCTGGCAGCAAACCCATCCAGGTTCTTCCCCCTCTCCCTTTTTTTTTTTCTTCGATCCTCTGGTTCTCCAGTCTCCCGTCCTGTGCTCCGCTTGCTCAGTCCTTCGTTACTCCCTTTCCCGTGCTACGCCTCGTCTCACCACCGTGCCATCTCCGTTTCTCCTTTGGTTGGATGCACCCGGTGCGATCCTGCGCCCAGATCCGACCCTTTGTTCACCTGTTCTTAGCTGCCCGTAGCCTCCCTGCCTTGCCTCATCGGCCCAGCGCCGGTTGCACGCCCCCTTCAACCCGACAATGAGACAGCGCTCCGCGAGGCTTCCACAGGAATCACAGAATGGTTGGGCGCTACCCCTTGATTTATACTTCGGAGACTCGTTGGCCTACCCTTTGCCATCTCCCCTTGGTGCTCACTGTGCCCTTGGTATTTTGCTGGGCCAGACCGGGACTGTCTGGGCTCTTCCACCGTCTGTAGGTCGTCGTACTGTGGACTCCGTGCAATCGCACTGGGGTCCTACCGGTTGACCTCACCACTCGTCTCAGCCTAGAACGTGGGCCTGCTCTAATCACACTACTAAAACGCTTGCTGACCTCCTAGGGGACTACAGCTAGACCTCTACCCTACTGGTGTACAGATCAAATCTCTGTTACCTACAGACCCTACAAAGGCCTACCTATGACCACTAATACACAGGTCGCAGGTTCAAAGTTCGGGACCTACACAACTGCTGTAAGGTTGGGATCTAGGGATCGAGCCTAGTGCGGTTCTCGGTGGTAGTAGCAATTACTCAAATGAGAACTTTGAAGGCCGTAGCGGAGAAGGGGTCCCACAAGAACAGCCACGAGACAGCGCCGCCCAACCATTGTTGTAGTGGCCTCCCACTAGCACCTCCCTGTCCCCTGTCTCAAGGCAGAGTTCACCATCTTTCGGGTCCCAACGGCATGCTCACACTCAAAACTTCCACCGCAGGCTCGCGGCTGGTGGGCGGCATACCCGCAAAGGGCCCGCGCATCCCGGGTTCCCTCCGCCTCGTGGGCTAATCACCCACCGACTTGTATGCATGTTAAACTCCTCGGCCCGTGCCTTTCAAGATGAACGCGAGGGAGAGATTTTTAGCAGCCTCTCGAACACGCTGGAGCCCGAACTCGGGTCTGCATTTCTACTTTTCAATGGCGTGCTCACTGAACGAAACCCGTCGGTCTCACCACAGTCTTGGACCTACAATAAAACTAAAAAAAAAAAAAAAAAAAAAAAAAAGGACCTCCTAAAAAGTGAGGAATCCGGGGCCATTGCCTTGTCACTCTTGCGCCGCACACCCCCATACCCCAAAGGTCCGCACCGTGCCGTCAACACTCTACGTCCGCCAAGCTCCCGCACCTACTGTGCGAAGACCTGACGTGCGTTCTATTTCCTCGCACCCTCTGCTCACCACATAAAGTCACACTGTCGTCGAGGCCGGCTTCCACGTATGCTCGCATGTCTCAGTAAAACGTACCAATCAAAATAAAATATCAATTAATCTTAATTAAATAAAAAAAAAAACAAAAAAAAACAAGGCAACTGGCAACCGCGGCGACTCTACTTTTAGACATTCTGGTCAAACTTTCGGTCAGAGGACTGCCGCGACTCACACGGTCTACTCAAGAATTCCGATTCGAACTTTTTTTTTGTCATGTGTAAAATCCTGGGCGGATACCCTTGTAAGGGTATTCGCACCAACAACTTACCGGACCATATTAAGCGACGTCCTCGTCGCTTTGCAGGATAAAAAACTATCAATTCAACCACAATCTCAAAGTGCTGACGAGCAGGGTACCAATCCGATTAACCGACAGACCCAGGATTGAGGCCTCCAATAATCCATGCCAGACATAACTTTATGCTGCCAGGATTCCAACCTGGGTCTCCGCCATCCTGACACTCGGACGCCGGGGAACTTCTCACTGTACTACAACATAAGTTTTATTGGATCTCTCACTGTCCTCTTCCCTGTGCCCTAGACAACCGCCGGCTCCTCGTTGTATGCCCCTAGCCCTTCCCCTGAAACCAAAGCCGTGACTAGGGGCGCGGACCCTAACCGAGACCTTTGAAGGCATTCTCTCGCCTCCCTAAAAAAAAAAAAAAAAAAAAACTTCACATTAAGCACATGTAAATATACCGTATAGATCTCCACATAAACCTCCCTGTAGTCTAGTACAGGAAGACTAGGTCTCCATCTTGGCCCACCATAGTCTGGGTGATCATTCCAGATCTATGGCTCACCGCATTGTTATTTCAGCGGTAGTGCCTTCGTGGGTTGCGCCACGATAGGCTGTTCCTGATAAGCATTCAATCAGGACTTCCTCAAAAAGACTCATATGACTCGACTCTTATCCCACGCCTCTCCGCAGGGGTAAAACCCTCCTAGGCGTTCATGCCCCTTTAAGTCTTTACTCCCTTGGCCAGACGCAGGCCCTCTGCTCAGGTTGTGCCAAACAACAGCCAACACTAGGGGTTGCGCCTTAGTGATGCTAGTTATACCCCTAGTTGGGTCTCTTATAAATGTCCAAGATTAGCACAAGCGACCAGACGGTGTGTCGCAACAATACAGGCCTACTCCAGGACTACGCATAGACCTGTCGCACATAAAGGTATTTACCAGTCCCTCTGTGGGACAACACAGAGGAAGCACGGCAACCTCTCCACAATTTCAAAACAAAATCACCGCCTGGTTCACAAGGTCGTGGCCTCCCTGCTTGATCAGAGCAAGAAAGTCACACATCTTGATAACATATCTTAAAACACACCATTTGCGACGTCCAAGAATTCCACCAATAGTCAAGCAAGATCTGGTCCCTCTCGTCAGTTTTTTATTACTCAAAGTCGACCTTCTATTTATCAATCTATTTAACCACCTTATTTATGGAGGAGGTCTTATTTTAATAGGTCTCTCAGTCATCTCTCTCTCTCACTAGGATGAACTCTCTCGCGACCTTTTCTTTAACGCATCTTCCCTCTCTGAAGGTGCGTCTTCCAAATAGATAATGAACAACCTTTTCATTCACAGGTGTCCCACTCATCATATACTCCATATATAAAAGACCAACTTGTGGGTCTTCCGCACAGCTCAACAGTAGAACACTCACCATACGAATATTCAGGATCCTCACATCCTTTCACAAAACGGACTGCGCTTCCTTGTCTTATACTCGGCCCTCTCATCCGCCCATGGGCAGATCGCGCGAGTATACCGGCAAGTAGATAGTTCACATTCATCGAAATTCACAAGGTACAAGATACATAAAGTATTTTTCTCATACATATTTCACATCAAATCATTATCCATCAAACCAGGACCACACGAGTGAGTGTGAGAGTGATCGTCATACATAACAAAGTAGTCCCCAAAAGGTCTCAATATAATATACACTAAGGGATAAAATATCCCGCACAAAAATGTCTCCAAACCATAGCCCACTCAACTCACTCAAATCCACACTCACACTGATGTCGTCCTCAAAGTACAAGTTGGGTGTGTCTCTCGAAGATCAGGGCGTAGGCTACCTAAGTATGTGCACGCCTCATCTACCACGTCCTGACCCTCAAGATGACAGACTCAACAAAAACCAAACCCAAACTGCTCAACAAATGCAAACAACACCTAGGTTTACAGGATTCAATCCTAACTCTAATCCTACACGCAACATGTCAACTATATAGGTAACTATGTTCTGATCGCTCATCTCCTCCCGGTTTTGCCTGTATAGTTGAGCCCTACCCCCATCTGCAGATTTTTCTACTCTCTTGCCCTGTCTATCATACATCCTGCCTCCTTCCTCTGTAACCTTCCCTTCGGCCTTGTCCTTCAGGAACTTAGGACACTGCAAGGCTCGATGCCCCTCCTTGGTACAAAAGAAACAGGACGTATCGAACCACTTCCTGGACCTCTTCTTTCCTCTCTGAGACCCTGGCTACGATGGTGCTTCGCTAGCCTCCCTGCTCAGCTCATGGCTCTGAGGCATATCCAAAGGCTCCTCTCTTGTCTCCACCTCCAGGGTACTCGACCCTGGTCGATCCTCAATCCCCCCTGGCCCATACTCAGGTGTGCCCAACCTCTGGAGCCTTCCCTCGATGACACCCTCCGCCTCAATCCCTATCTCTCTCTCAAGAGGCTCCTCTATCCTCTGCTCATGCGAAAACAAGCTCGCCTCCTCTTGCATCGAGTGCACTGCCTCAATGAGCACGTCCATAGATCCCTCTGCTGAGCCCTGAGCCGGCTCACTGCTGGATGGTGGTAATCCCTCCTCAACTGCCAATGGTATGACTGGGCCCGCCGCTGCTATAGGTAGCGTTGCGAGCTCAGTAGGGGCTCTGAACTCGAAGGCCTCTCTCTCTGCCTCCCTCTGAGCTCTCGCCTCCTCAAGCTCCAGGATGACTCTCCCCATAGGTGGCTTCTGGCAAGTCTCTGCTGCAGATGGCTGTCCTAGCAAACCATGTCCTGACTGCCTCTGCTCTCCCTGTCGGCTGCTCTCTCGCTTGTCCACCTCTCCCTGAGATCACTGCCTCAGACTCTCGATGATAGCTGCCTGACTGGCCACCAATGCCCTGAGTTCTTGGATTTCCACCTCCATAGCCTCCAGGCGTACCCCATGGCCTGCTTCCTTTATCTTCTTTCCTGCCAGATCGCTCTCCAATAGCAAGTGCCGATCAAAAGTTGCCTTGGCCAAGAACTTGATTTTGCGATCCAACCTTTCTTCTGCCTTCCTTGCCACCCCAAGCCCGACTCTGACTGGCGAAGGAAGCTCCTCGAGCACTCGCCACGCGGGGGAGAGGTTACAGAGAGAGGAGGCCCCATTACCTTCATCAGAAAAGGCTCCTTCGCCAGAGGAGAGAGCAAAAAGGAGGAGAGAGAGGGCAGCTGTAAGGAGAGAAGCCTTGACCTTGATTGACAGACACCTTGCAGCTCATGCTCTGGAGCACCCAGACCTGGAAGAGCCAACACGTGTAGAGCCGCGCCAGGAGCCGTGTCAGCCCGAGAAGGAGATAGAGGCAGGCATCCCGAAGAGGGTTGACCTCCGAACAAGGGAAAGGGCGCCAGCTGGAGAGACAGCAGAGGAAAAGAGGGCGTCTCAAACCCACCGTTGGTGTCTGAGGGGGCGTGTCCTCTCCAACCTCTATCACTTCCTTCCCTGCACGTCTTCCCTCATCGTCCATCCCTCTCTCCCGCTGAGTGTCCTTGACCTCCTCCTGCGACACCTCCTCTCGTGGCACTTCCTCTCGTGGCACCTCCTCTGCCTGCTCTCCACACTCCTCACCCCGAGGCGACGCTCTCCACTGAGAGATATCTAAGTGCGCCTCCAACTCCCTCAAAGGCTCCTTAGACGCTGGCGGCCCCTCCTGTGTGCGTGCTGGCGACCTCCTCAATTCACCTTCGGCAAAACGATGAAACTCCACTGGTCCCAACCCACACTCAGGGTACGCGCCTCGCTCCTCAGCCTCTGGCTCTGGCTCCTCCTCTCTCCTAGCTAGGGCCTTTCGTCCTCCTCGAGATGGTCTCGCCTCCCTTGGCTCAGGGTCCCTCTGCCTCTGACTCCTCTGACGCCTCTCAACTCTGGGCTGAGGGGGCTCTGGTCGTCGAAAGGCCTCTCTCAGATATGCCCTGTTGCTCTCCCAGTCCCGGGCCATGCATTTGACTTGGCTAGCCAGTGGCCTTTCCGCCTTCCTGGTCCAGAGTGGTAGCGTCTGCATCCAATCATCTCTCGGTATACCCTGCCCCTGCATGAACCACTCAAACGCGGGGATGAAGTCCGACGCATTTTCAATGTCCAGGCGGATCGGCCTGCCATCAGGTCCCACAGGCGAGGGTCGCAGCTCCTGCATCCTCCACTCCACCTTTGATCTCGTCGTCGCCTCCCTACGGATCCGCGCGACGGGTTCCTCGAATCTGCGTGCTCCCCTTAGTCTCTCAATCGCCTGGGTCACGGTCCAGCCCATACGCTTCGCATGATCCCTGAAGCTGTCCAGGAATAGCTCGATGTCCCCATCATCGTACACTGGAGTACTCTCTCGATGGCGAAGCCCATGCCGCTCATATCCTCTTGATGCTCCCAACGACCTTTGAGGCGGCCATGTCCTCTTCCCTCCTCTTGGCATGGCTGTCTTCGTAAAGTCAGACCTGCACAACAGGCGAAGGAGACAACAGACACACATTGAGGTAAGCAAACATGTGATAATCAAAGCAAGCTCAGACCAGAATACACTCATACAGCATGCATCCTACCTAACCTACACACCCAGCTACTTTTATTCTAAAGGCAGTCAGGTCATCTCTCTTACCTCTTCTCTCCCCACAAATTTCTTCAATCTCGTTCCAGATACCAAATCCTTCCACTCCGTCCTATTTAGCTCCTCAATCTAGTACGTTTCAAAATCTCCAACCCGTACGATCCGATAAGGACCTAACCACCTCTTATCGAGTTTCCTGGACCACTTTTTTTCCAGCGATGAATCGTAGAGAAGCACGACATCTCCAACTGCCAAGGGTACTTTCCTCACTCGCGCAGACTGATCCCATCGAGCCTTATCATCCATACGGCTTCTCGCCACCTTATCAGACGCCTCCTGGATCCTTTCTTCTATCGTCCCTATCTGCCGCGCCCGGATATCGAGCAACTCTTAAAATGACAGGTTAACTTCCAGATCCTGGCGCCTCCATGTCTTAAGAAAACTTTCGATAGGGAAGGTGGCGTGCCTTCCATACCACAGTGTCGCCGGTGCATACTTGGTGGATCTTTTTACTGTAATGTTATCGACAAAGAACGCCGCCCTTAGGTATCTTGGCCATTGATTGGGCCTACCTTCGGTCCACTTAGCCAGGAGGCTCGTAATGATACTATGTCCTCTCTCCACGGGAGCATTTGCCTGGGGGTGCGCGGCCGTGGTGTAGTTGGATGCTACACCATATCTTGATAATAATTCTTGCACCTCCTGGCAGGTAAACTCTGATCCCCTGTCCATTACAAATTCCCTGACGAAAGGATAGCGCAGGTAATACTCCTCGATGCAGCTCACCAGGACTGACCCGGTCTTTATGCGAATAGCACGCCCGTCTACGAACCCAGACAGGTTATCGCGCGTATCGAAGATATAGTTATAACCCTGATCCCCAAGCGGCATAAAAAGCAGATCGAGATGCACTACAGCCCCCACCTCTCGCTTTAGCCTTGGATGCAGCGACTCTCCTTGCCTTAAATGGGATCTTTCCTGACAGGGTACGTTGGATCAGCAGAACTTCCCAACCATATCCATCATCTCATCCCAATAGTACAACTCACTTATCTTGGCATACGTGGCTTATACCCTTCGATCCCCTCTTGCAATGCCATCATGAAGTGCTGCTACGACGTCAATCTGGCGGTTCCTACCGCAGACGACTCTCCTGGGATTCCGCACTTCTCTTCTTACGAAAAGGTGGCCATCTCGCACTAAGTAGCGCTGCAGCATCTTCTGAGCCCTATCGCTTGCATCCCTTAGCCGCATCTCGCAAGACAAGAGAAGCCCCAGCTCTAGATAGATCCCATCATACTCCTCCGCACGAAAGACCTCCTTAATCTCCCCCTCCTCGAACTCGTCGTCCTGGCTTTTGGGCACTTCGTCCACATTCCCTGTCGGGTTCAACGAGCCTGAGTGGTCGAGGCTTTCCTGCAATAGCGTGTTGACGAGGAGATACATTCCTCCCATCAGATCCTCATGCCGTTTTACCTGGCCTGGTCCTTCCTCGATCGTTCTTATGTCTTCCACCAGACTATGCGAACTTGCCAGCGCAAACTCCATCATCCACTGAACATCCTTACCTCCCCAAGGATCTTCTTCTTCAAAGGGTTTGAGGACTAGCTCTGCCCTCCTTTCATATCCGCTCGACGCTTGCCAAATAGGATAGCCCACACAGCTAGGCACTCGCGGTGACCACTTGTTGATATGGAGACGGATATCTTCCTCCTGATCCAAGAATCCATCAACTGGGGGCGTATTCTCCACCGCCTCTCCTTCCTAGTTATCCCAGTTGGTACGACTCAGCCCATCCGTCCGGTTCTTGCTACCAGGAATACGCTCCAACTCGAAGTTAAACATCCAGATGTACGTCAGCCATCTGGCAACCGTCGGATCCGATGGAGCGTTATTCCTCAGAGAGTAGGCCAGGGCGGTTGGGTCCACTCTTAAAATAAACCTCCTGCCGAAGATGTAGTTCCGGAAGATCCGTAGACAGTGGAGGACAGCAAGGGTCTCCCTTTTGAACATGACTATGGCAGGCCTTGCAATGGGCCTCGCTCCACTACTCAGTCGCTCTGGCCGGAAAGTGACATGACTACGGCAAGCCTTGCAATGGGCCTCGCTCCACTACTCACCACATGCACAAAAGACAACTTATGCCGGTGTATCTTTCCATGTTCTTTGGGAGATTCATTCTCATTTTGCACATTTGGTAAGTGGTGAAGCAAACCCTCTTGAGCCGAGTTCCCTTCCTGTGCAACTCTGACTGATACCACGGTAGGGCGTGGGGGCGCAGCAAGGACGGCGGTGGCCCGACGACCAGCCCAATTCCAAGGTTAAAAAAAAAAAAAAAAAAAAAAGGAAGATGGCGATGTATCCTTCCATGTTCTAACAAAGAATTCAGTCTCAACCGGGCCCGTTTGGAATGAAATTCCAAGGTAA